TTTTTGCTGTTCTTTATTTGTTCGAGTTGTGTAGCTAATGTTTTGATTTTGTCCATTTCTTCTTTTTTGATGTGTACATCTATTGCTGTAAATTGAGCTCTGAGCACTGCCTTTGCTGTGTCCCAAAGGTGTTGGTATGATATGTTTTCATTCTCATTTGATTCTAGGAATTTTTTTTATTCCATCTTTGATTTCTTTTATTACTCAGTGGTTTTTAAGCAGGGTGTTATTCAGTTTCCATATATTTGATTTTTTTCCTTGCTCTTCCTGTTGTTAATTTCTACTTTGATGGCATTGTGATCAGAGAAGATGCTTCGTGAATTCTTAATAAAATTTTTATTTCAGTTTTTTGTAGTGACTAATTTCTGGGTGACCAGTGGATTGGTAGAGGAGGTTATTTTGCTTGGCCATCTTGATCATCTAACCTGTCTTAATACTTTCTCTTATTAGGGTCCCATCAGAACTATTGTGCATGCATCAGAACCTCATTCTGTGGTTGATCTCAAGGCTAGATGATAAATGCAGTTCTTCCAGGTGTGTTCAGCAGCTGATGAAAGTGTTTACAAAGCCCAGTCACCTAGAGCATAAGATTGTGTTTATGTTGAAGTTTATTAAGAAACATCAGAATTTTGATATTTTAAATAATTGAACTTTAAATGTTGATTTTTCTAAGTTCGTAGCATTTATAAGGAGCTCTGCTGGCACAGTCGTTAAAGTGCTTGGCTGCTAACCAAAAGGTTGGGGTTTGAACCCACCAGCCACTGTGTGGAAGAAAGGTGTGGCAGTCTGCTTCCGTAAAGATTTATAGCCTTAGAAACCCTACGGCACTTCTACTCTGTCCTTTTGGGTCACTATGAGTCGGAATTGACTCGATGGCAGTGGGTTTGGTTTTGGTTTTGGTTTTGGTAGCATTGATACTTCTGTGGACATTAAAGTTTAAAGCTGCACTGAGACTTTTAGAACACTTGGTATAAATCCTGTCACATCAGCCCTGTGTTTAAGGTGCTTTGTTCCTCCAGTCTCCTCACATTTGAAGACCATACTGGTTAATAAAGTATAAACATAAACAAGACCCATCATGATCTCTCTCTAGCTTACCTCTTTGCTATAGATACTCCTCTAATGATCCCATCCATGCCTGTAGCCTCAGCTCATATCTCTATGCTGATAATGCTGAAGCCTGTATGTTTAGCTTCAGTTCCTGATTAAGATATAAACCTGAATCTCTATTGTCTAGTGGACACAAGACAGGCACTAAAAACTCAAACTGGTGTAGTGGAGGGAAAAACTGGATTTGGAATCAGAAGAACTGGCTCTGTTCCTACTTCCCCTTATAACTCTAGGCAAGTCGCATAATCTCTCTAAGCCTCTTTCACCCTATATATAATGGAAATAACAGCAGCTCTGCCACTCAGGGTTGGTTGGAGGATTAAAGGAGTTAATATACGTAAAAGAACTTTATATTACCATAATGTAATTTGCAAACATTGAATATTTTCTTAAAAATGTTTTTCCTTTTCCTGTGTTACCACTTAGTTAATGGCATTCACCACTCACAAAGTAATGAAGCTAGAGATCTCTTGAATCATATTTGAGTTATTTGCCCTCCATACAGCCAGCTTTGCCAACTTCTATTCATTTTTCTCTGCAAATACCCCTGTGATTCATATTCTCCTGAAGACTGGATTGGCTCTAGAATCAGACTGTCGGGGTTCATGTCTAACACTTATACCAGTGTATGATGATTGGCAAATTACTCCACTACTCTGTGCCTCATTTTCATCATCTGTAATAATTAGGATAATAAGTTGTCAGGAAGATTACCCAATTTAATGAATGTAAAGCGCTTATAACAGTGTTTAGCACTTAATAAACACTCAGTAAATGTTAGGTCAGGATCAGAATCTTTATTATTAGGTCAGGATCAGAATCTTTCATACCAGGTAATAGTGTAGTTTGTTGTGATGTTTCTGTCTCACTGAGGTGATTGTGGAGTCCTGGTGGCACAGTGGTTAAGATCTTGCCTGCTAACCAGAAGATCAGCAATTCAAATCCACTAGCCACTCTTTAGAAACCCTACGGGGCAGTTCTACTCTGTCCTATAAGGTCACTATGAGTCGGAATCAACTGGACAGCAATGGGTTTAGTTAATGGGTTAGGTGATTTTGAGTTATTTAAAGGCAGAGACTATGTCTTTGTGTTCCTGTTGTCTCATATACTTGATACACAATAGGTACCAGTAAATGTTTGTTTTATTAGACTTGTAAGATTTTGCCAAGCACATATAGCTAGAATTTCTGATTCAACCTTCCCTTTTTTTTTTTTTAAACAGGAAAAAGGTCACTGGTTAGAACAGCAAGAAGCAGCAGTCTTGAAGACAGAATTTAAAATTAGACTTTTTTAAGACTATCCCAGAAACATAAATTGTATGATCCCAGCGTGAATGTTGTTGTCACAGAATACTTCAAGTCATAAAATTCCTTGTATCGACCATTTGAAATCAACTGCAAGTACACAGGAGTGATGAAAAATTATTTATCATTCTACTATCAATGTATCATGTCAAATTTCAATTTGTAGGTGACTTTTAAATGATTATTCCATGGAAATAACAGTCATTGACTTCTGTGGTTAGAATCCAAAGACATACTTCTTATAGAAGACCAAAAGCTTATTTAACAGCACCCAAATGAGGTGAACTCTTAAGGATTTTTCCTTCAAGTATGAAGGAGGGTGTGATGTATGTTGTGGAGAAGCATCTGGAACAATTTCAAAGTAATGAATGTCCCCTCCTTTTTTGGATGGACAAGAAGCAGCACAGGCTGTCTACCAAGAAGAAACCCGTTGCTCTCTATTTTACTGTTTCTTAATTTGTTATGGCCTTTTGTGGTGTGAGCCACAGCAAAGAGATTCCTCATCTATGGCTGGTTATTCAAGTTTCCTAAGATTTTTAATTCTTTGGTCTATTAAATATCCTTATACCTCATTGGTGAGGTAGCTCATACCTTACCTGGCATAATGTTGCAACTACAAGATTATGGTCAGCCTCTCCTTTCTTCATTTTCCATGATTTAACCAAGATCTTTCCATGCAAGATTATTTTGCTAGAAAACTGATAAACATTTTAGCATGATAAGGAAGAATGTTCCTGTTACTTGATACACCTCTGACTTCATTCTCTCAGCTTATCTTTCCTTAGGCTTTATAGCCCTTCACCCATTTAGTAAACGGATCTCTGCCAGGGGTAAAGGATTATGATTATGCAGTAATGGAAGATATCCATTGCTATTAGAAGATCTTTCTCTACTGCTAGCTTCCTACAGCAGAATAAAAACATCGACTTCATGAAAGTACTTAGAATGGTGTTTGACACATGAATGTTCAGCTATTACCAGTACTACTAAAATACTGTAAGCTTTTCTTAGCAGTATTTGAATTAAACTTGTTTCTTTTATTCCCAGACTTTTGATGGGTAGAGTCTAACTTGAAGATTTTAGATGGGACAAAAATTGTTCAGAATTTATTTAAATGAAGATCTCTTGTTCCAAGGTGCAAAGAATATTTATAGGCACGTAGCTTTTTGTTCTTGTGAACAAGTCCTTGACTTAATACGTATTTTGGAGGCAGGCATACTGTTGCCACCTATTTGTCAACTGTGTGACTTTGGATGAGTTCTTTAGTTTTGCAGCACTTCAGTTTTTTAATTTGTGAAATGGGGGTAATACCAGTATAATACCAATTATGTCTCAAGATTGGGAGTACTTAGTTCTGTGACTGACACAGACTCACAACAAATACTCGTTTAACAAACATTTTAGTTTGTGTTAGAAATATAAGGCTTGCTAACACAGTCTCTGCCCTTATAATGTAATGGTGGAAATAAGTGAAGGAACAAATAGTGTACTAAGTGCTGTGTCAGAGGTAAGGGTGGGATGCTGGAGCCTCAAAGGAGGGCATCAAACCCAGATTGGGATGTCCTGATGTTCTGGAAGGCTTCCCAGAGGCCTGAGCTGAGTCTTTCTTTTAGAAGTCAACAGTTAAGGGCAACAAAGCTTCCAGGCAGAGACAGAGATCACATGTTCTATGACCCTTGACATACTCCCTTTGTTTGACTTTAATTTCTCCTATGTAACCACCCATCCATAAATGTCTACATATACCTGCACCAACTTGGTTTGTCAATGGATTAATATTGGATTTAGCTGCTTTCGATTAATTGAAACTCTCCTACACAAACTTCAGTTTTATTTAAGAGAAGTGAAATTAGTGAATAGACAATTAGGACAAAGGAACACATTCACTGGCTCTCGTTAAATGAGCAAGGACTTTGGAGTTTGAATTCCACCTCTGCTGCTTGCAGCTTATGATCCGGGTGAATTAACTTTTAGCCTTAGTCTTCTCATCTAAAATGCCAGTACTAACTAACACTGAGGATTTTTCTTCAATGCATATAAAGTTCCTGACCAGTAATTTGTGCCCAATAAATGGCAGCTATTATTATTACAAATTGTTTCCTAGTAAAAGCCCTGAGGAAAAAGCGAACGTAGATAAAGCTAATTAAAATTAATCAAATACTAGTAAGCAAACTACTTGAAGGCTTGAAAAAGTTTACTCTCAGCTTGTGTTATTTACAGACTATAATTTGATTAGGAAAAAAAAAAGATCAAAAGTAAGCGCAGAGAGGGTGAGAGCAAGTATGAAGTAACTGCTTTCGCAACACTGCAAGTATGGAAGAAACAGTGAATTAAGGAACTACTGAGTAGCACGATGGCAGAACCAAACGAGACTAGCGCACCCTGGAGGTTTTATATGTGAATCGGGTTTATGTGCGCTTGGTTGGTTTCCTGAAATTTTAAAATACCTTCTGTCAGCTCCTGGGGCGGGTACCAAAAGGAAGCTGATAAATTGGAAGGAAAGAGGTGAGACAGCCGATTAGAGCTGTGAAGCTATCCAACGCTGTCGATTCTTTACGTGTAAAGAATAACAATGCAAAAACACCCGTGTACCCACATCCAGTTTAAAAAATAAGAATCTACTATTTCCACTAACCAAGACGATCTCGTTTTCAAACTGAGGGACAATAGCGCCTTGCTGCTCCGCCGCCAGCTGGAGCCCACCAGAGGGCCTTGCCAGAGACTGAATTAGTTCCAGTGGCGGCGCGGCCGCAGCCGCCCTACCAGTCCCAGACCTAGAATCGCACGTGGAAGACCCTCGGCTACGGCTGAGTCACGTGACGAGTGTGTAGCTCCTCCCCTCGGGGGGGGGTTTAGAGGAGTCACGTGGGCGCATGGCCCCGCCCCGTCACCAGGTCTGCGGCGAGGTGGGGCCTGGCGTTTGCCCCGGAAGTAGCTGTCTTCAGCTGACAGCTGATTGTAAGGTGGCGGCGGCGGTGACGGCGGCGACAGGCCGGGAGTAAGATGGCGCTGCGACCGGGCACGGGATCTGGCGGCGACTCGGCCGCCGGAGCTGGCGCAGGGGCCACCGGGGGAGGCAGGTGGGTGTACAGACCTGGTTGGAGCGCAATGGAACCCCCCCAACCGACGCAGGGCTGGCGCCGCAGTGGCTAGGAATGTTTGGCGGTTATGGCGGTTTTCGCCAGCTCCTTTTCTTTTGGAACTGGGCTACAGGAGAAGGGTCGTCCTCCAGGGACCTAGGCCGAGGGGCCAGGTGGCGCCCGGGCGCCTGGCCCTTGTGTTCCTAGCCGGAGCACGGGCTGCCTGGGGTCGAAGGAGGAGCGACCGCACGCCCCAGTGCGAGGAAGGGAAGGGGAGAAGGTGAGGGTCCGCTTGGTGGGCTGGTTGCTACCCGGCCGGAGGCGGGGTATGAATGAGGAGCCCCGACTCTTCGCTTCTAGCCCTACCCTGGCTGGATCTGAAGCCACCAGAGACTACCCTTTCACAACGCTTGATCAGGGATAGTTGTAAGGAAGGCTCTGAAAAATCTGATCACGAAGCTGGAGGAACTGTTCCGAGAGACGTGCGTGTGCGTGTGTGTGTGTGTGTGTGTGTGTTATTTGTGTGTGTGTGCTATTTGTGTTTCCCTCTTTTAGGGTGTCCTCTCCTCTTTATTTATTTCTTTAGCACCCGAGAAGGAGCAGGGAAATCTGAAGACCTTTGAATTAATAATTGTCTAGAGATAGAGCTCTTCTCTTGTAGAAGTAACTTTTTAAGACTTGTCCAAATCCCCTTTTTAAAAGGCGTAATAAAAAAAGAAAATTCACTGTTGACAGCAGTTACACAGTTATTAGAAAAAAACTTCCAGACTTACTTAATCCTCTGTCATTTTTCAGCTAATAACTGCATGTAGATATCAGACCGGTAAGGGAGATGAACATTTATTGGCAACTTGAGAAAACTCCATTATCATTTAAAGAACTGTTTTATTTTGAGAAGTTTTCACCCCGCCTCTGTAAAGACTTAGTCTGATTTTATTAGCTAATACACACTGCACACACATTTGGTGGTAAAATTAGCTTTTTTATTTTCAGTATCCTAAATTATTTTTGGAAAATGAAGTGTTGGTTTTTTGATATGTAATGTTTTAATTTTGGAGTCATGAACGCTTTGGTAGTGCAGGATCTTCTAAGTTATCACCTCCTGCAGGTGCTTATATATATATACCAGAAAAAAAAAGAGCAGTTGCTGTTCAATACACCACCTGTATGTAGCCCCATTCTTCATTTCCTCTACACATCTTTGACTTTAGATTTAAAACTTTTCTTCTCTCTTTTGTTCTCTGACTAGTTTTCACTGTTTTCATTCAAGTTTTTCATGCGTACTTGGTACAAGTCAGTTTCTCGCTGGAGAAGAAAAATAAGTACTAATCTCTATTTCTTTTCTGTGTGTGATGATTGTTTCTAAAATGTCCCTGAGTTGTGTTACATTTTAATTTGATCTAGTATATGATTAACAGTGGTACTAAGTTCTGGGAAAAAATAAACTTAAAAGATTTTGGTATTGTAGGCCCAGATTTTTTTTTTTTTTTTTTTTAAATTTTTTACATGAAGAGGACCTGAAACGCAGAGAGTGGATCATTCCTCTTACTTAGTTCATAGTATTTTATCATCATATGTCCATGGACACAAATTTTTATAAATATGGTGTGGGTTTTGATGGAAATTTGAATGATTAATGTTAAAATTTCTCTCTTTTCTCTGTAAATGTAGTAACATCAACATTCTAAAATTCTACAGGGTATATGGGAGAGAAAAGTGGTTAAAATAATCCTTACCTTGAAAAATGTATAATAAATATGTTACATATATTGGAAACATTCTGAGGCTGAGAAATTTTGTGCACTCAATGAAGAAAAAATATTGTAAATCCCTAAGACTCCACAAGAAAACGTCTAGAACTAATAGAAGAATTTAGTAAAATTTCAGAGAACAAGGACAACAAACAAAAATCAGTTGGGTTTCTATATACCAGCAATGATAAATTTGAAAGGGAAATTAGGGAAACAATTGCATTTACAATAGCATCTGAGAGAATAAAATACCTAGGGATAAATCTAACTGGGGATGTGAAGGACTTATACAATGAAAACTATAAAACTACTGAAAGAGATTAAAGAAGACTTAAATAAATGAAAAGATGTTCTATGTTCATGGATTAGAAAACTTAGTATTGTTAAGATGTCAGTACTACCCAAAGCGATCTATAGATTCAATGCAATCCCAATCAAAATTACAACAGCCGTCTTTGCAAAAATAGAGAAACCAGTCATCAACTTTATATGGAATGACAAGAAGCCCTGAATAACTAAACCAATGCTGAAAGAGAAGAGCAAAGTACAAGGACTCACACTTTTTGATTTTAAAACATACTATAGAACTACAGTAATCAAAAACACCCGGGTACTGGTATAACAATAGGGACATAAACCAATGGAATAGAATTAGAGAGTCCAGAAATAAACCCATATATGTACGGTCAACTGGAGAAAAAAGAATTTCTTCAATAAATGCTTCAGATAAAGTTGGATTTCCACATGCAGAAAAATGAAACAGGATCCATGTCTCATACCATACACAAAAACAAATTGAAAACAGATTAAGGACCTGAATGTGCAAACTAAAACCATAAAATTCTTAGAAGAACAAAAGGCAATAAGTGCTGTCAGGCCTAGCTTTCAACGGTGGATTATCTAATAACAGAAGTACAAACAGCAGAAGACAAAATAAATGGGACCTCATAAAAATTAAAAACTTTTGTTCATCAAAAGACTTTGCAAAAAAAGTGAAAAGACAAGCTACCGACTGGGAGAATATCTTTGGAGACCGTATATCTGACAAGGATCTAATAACCAAAATACATATAAAACTTCAACAACTTAACAAGAAAAAGACAAATAGCCCAATCATAAAATGGCAAATGACTTGAACAGACGTTTCACCAAAGAGGACATTCAAATGGCCACCAAACACAGGAAAAGATGCTCAGCATCATTAGCCATCAGAGAGATGCAAATCAAAATCACAATGAGGTAGCACTTCACTACCACTAGGATGGCTAAGATTAAAAAAAAACAAAATAACAAATGTTGGTAAGGATGTGGGGAAATTGGAACACTTATCCGTTGCTGGTAGGGATGGTAAATGGTACGGCTGTTCTGGAAAACGGTGGGCAGTTCCTCAAAAAAACTACAAATAGAACTACCATGTGCCCAGCAATTCCACTCCTAGGTGTATACCCAAAAGACTTGAAAGCAGAGACTCAAAAAGAGACTCGTATACCAGTGTTCATTGCAACACCATTCACAATGGACAAAATGTGGAAACAACCTAAATGCCCCTCAGCAGATGAATGGACAAACAAAATGTGGTACCTACATACAATGGAATACTACTTAGCCAGTGGGAGAAATTAAGTCCTGATACATGTTACAGTGTGGATGGAGCTCGAAGACATTATGTTGAGTGAAATAAGCTAATCACAGTGCCAAAAAAAAAGTAGCTACTGAGGCTGCTTATGTACAATCAAACACCTCGTGGGATTTGATTTCTTGGTTTGAACACTTAGGGTCATGGTTTCATGGGACATCCCAGTTAATTGGCCTAATAACGTGTTTAGTGCTTCTGTTCTACCTCCTAGTTCGTTGTGCAGTGCCTGGGGTCTTAAACGCTTGCAAGCGACCATCCAAGATACAGCAATTCAGCTCTTTTTACCTGGAGCAGTAGAGGAAGAAGGAAAGTCAGGAATAGGAGGAGGATATGGATTGTGTGTTTAATTGCCTCCATGAACAACTGCGTCCTTTGCCATGAGACCAGAAGAACTGGATGGTGGCCAGCTATCATTACTGAACATTTTTGTCAAAGATTCCATGGAAGAATTCTGGTCAAAAGGGGGGAAATGCAGAACAGAATTTCAAATTCTCATGGACTGTAGACTTTCTGAAGCCATGAAAGGTGGATGAACCCCTGAAACTATTGCCCTGAGATAATCTTTAAACCTTAAACCAAAAATATCCTCTGAAGTCATCTTAAAACCAAACAGCAGTTTAGCTTAACTTGTAAAAAAATCTACCTTGAGCATTACGCTCTTTTAAGGACTATCTATATGGGATCAAATTGACAACAGCAACTTGAAAGATTAGTTAGGAACCTTAGGGGTCGTGGAGTTTATGTTAATGAGGGAGGAACAATTCAGAAAAGGAGGGTGCGAATGGTTGCACAACTTGAAGAATGTAATCAGTGTCACTAAATTGTCCATGTAGAAACTGTTGAATTGGTGTATGTTTTGCTGTGTGTATTCTCAACAACAAAAACAAAGGAAATAAAATTTAGAAAGAAAAAATATTGTGGTTCTGAGAGAGCAGTAGTAAGGACTGAAGTTGTTTTATAAGAAAGTGAACCTTCTGGAGCCTTAAATGTACTATAGGGAAAAGGAAAAAGAACCAGGCAACCTCTCTAAGCTATTAATGGAGATAAGCTTATAATGAACTATAACTGACCATATTACATAGATAAAAGTCTGTTCTAAGAGACTGAAAGCAATGGCGTTTTCCAATTTTATTAATATGAGCCCATTTTTGATTGGTGTTCTGAACGGGCTACTTAAGAATAAATGATAGAGTTGTATAAATGGCAAAATTTGCATAGGGGATGAAGTATAATTTTTTTTTTTTAAATCAAGTAAAGCAGAAAAAAATATTTGAGAGATCTGGATTAATCTGTAATCATTTAGCTTATACCTACATGTATAAGGTACTGTTTTTGATGCTGTAAAGAATTTAGAAGATATTCAGGACGTGGCCTCCATCCTCCAGGAGTATACAAGATAACTGTGGTACAAGGTAGAGAACAAAGAGATCACATCCTTCTGGGGTATTATCATTTGTGAACCTGCCTATTTTCTCCTGCTCTTTTATAAACTCCTTGAGGGCTTTCTCAGCTCTTCATCTTCCATAGCTTCTAGCACATTCTTGCATATAGAAAATAGTCTATAAATGTTTGTAGATTCAAGCTACATTGAAGGCAAAGAAGAAGTGGTGTTT